GATTTTCACAGGTATAGGTATGCTGGTCTTGTTGTATTTGGGTCTTTTCCCATGTAAGATTGAGATTGTCTTGGCAATGTTTCGGCGAGGTCTCACTCGCCATCTTCAGGCTGGTGTTTTCGGCTTAAAGCCGAAAACACATACACATACACACACACACACACACACACACACATACGTGCGCACGCACACACACACTTTTATATAAGGAATGCGGTGGCTCAGTGGCTCAGATGCTGAGCTTGTCGATCAGAAAGGTCAGCAGTTTGGTGGTTTGAATCCCTAGTGCTGCATAACAAAGTGAGCTCCCATTATTTGTCCCAGCTTTTGCCAACCTAGCAGTTCGAAAGCACGTAAATATGCAGGTAGAAAAATAGGGACCACTCTGATGGGAAGGTAACAGTGTTCTGTGCACCTTCGGTGTTTAGTCATGCTGGCCATATGACCATGGAGACATCTTTGGACAGCACTGGCTCTTCGGCTTTGAAACCCGCCTTCTAGAGTTGGGAATGACTAGCACATATGTGAGAGGGAAAGCTTTACCTTTACTTACTTTTATATAATTAAAAAAAGCAATAATAAAATGGGAAAACTAGAAAATGAATGATAGTATTATTAAGTACATTTAAATAATATTGTGGTTGGCATTGGAATAATATAATGAAACACTGAACAGTTAAACAATGAAAGAACATATCTTAATGTAAACATGTTTCACTATTAGAATTATATAGATTTGATGAATGTAAAGAATGTGATTAGAATAATTTTGTATGTTTAAATACTATTGTAATTGGTATTCGAATTCTGCATTGAAATATTGAATAATGAAATAATGGAGTGTATCTTAATACAAATAGATGCAAAGAGTGAAATATGGGAGGTAAGTTAAAAGTGAGCAGGATGCAAAGCACCAAAATGGGCAAGAGAAAGAAAATGTAGTTTAATATAAGGGTGACATGACTGAAAGTCAGAATAGAGATAAAAATAAAAGAAAGGGGGAATATTAGTATACACATTTTTATATAACTAAAATAAAAACAATAACTAAAGGGAAGTTTAAAAACAGAATGGTGATATTATTATGTATGTTTAAACGATATGGTAATTGGCATTAGAACAATATATTGAAATATGGAATAGTTTAATAATGAAAGACTATTACTTAATATAAATGTGTATTATAACTAGAAATACATAATGAATATATGATGGATGTATGAATGTAACAACTATGATTAATATTACTAGTTTTATCTGTATTAGAATGCAATACCGCCACATTGTTCACACATTGATATGTATATGTAAAATAAAATAAAAATAAAAATAATATATTCAAGAAGAATGTGTGTGTGTATTCAAGAAGAATATATTCACAAGAAATGGCCCAAAAAAGATTAATCCTCTATTCACACATTTCTATTATGTCACACAGAAGAAGAGAGTGTGAGACTAATATGTAATACATTAAATTCAAAACGTTCTTTGTCAAGAAGTAAGGAACTCCAGCTATTCTGCTAACCATAAAAACAAAAACAAAAATACCTTATATAGACCAATTTGAGTTACTCATCCCAGGGCACCAATATACACTATAGCTACTTTCAATGTCATAGGGAGGCCTTTCTGAACAGTGAGGAAAATTTCCAAGGAAAGTCAAATGGTAGCTGTTATCACATGTTACCAAATGGAAGTTGTTTACTATACCAGGGGTGGGTTTCAGAGGGTATGCCCCAGTATGTGCGTATCTGTTCCTTAAATTTAGCATGTCTTCCAGTACCCATTTTTCTGGAACACCCCCACTCCAGGCTTACCCCGTCAACAGCCACCTTGAAGAGACAACGTCTGCTCTGCGAGATGGTATGATAAACCACCCATTGTCCTTGGCATAGCTGTTTGAATTATCTGAATACATTGTCTCTCTTTCTCCCCAAGTGTTAACAGTGCGGCGGGTTCTTTCCCACCTGCCAGCAGCGCAAACAATGGTTATACTATTTAACATTCCTTAAGGCAAAACTTTCAATTGAAAGCGAGAAGCAGGTTTGGAATTGTTAAATTCTGGAACAGTAAAAGCAAACAGTTTGCGATCTTTTTCATGGAGTGGTATAGAAAAAAAAAAGGCATCTTTTAAATCAATGACCATGAGATCGCATTCTTGGGAAATCAAATTTGGATTGGGGAGGCCGCACTGCAGCGCTCCCATGGGTTGGAGAATTTTATTAACAGCCCTCAAATCATGCAAAAAACGCCATTTACCAGATTTCTTTTTTATAACAAACACAGGGGTGTTGTAAGGGCTGTGGGGTATCTCTTTCCTCTTCCTCTCTTCTCTCTCTGTTTCTCTCATCCTCTATCTCTTTGTTTCTGTTCACTTTCTCTTTCCCTCTTTTCCATTCTTCTGTCACTTTCTCCTTCTCCCTTCTCTCTCCTCTTTGTCTTTTTCTGTCTCTTTCACTCTTTCACTCTTTTTCTTTCTTCTGTCACTTTCT